GCACCTGTCCTCCTCCCCTCCTGTCTTCATCCCCCTCCTATCCTCATCTACCTTCTTGGACCGCCTTCTACCTGCTCTGACCAGCCAGAGGTCTGAGGACCTTGGAGCTCCTGGCATTGGGGTTGGGAGCTCTGAATTAGCTTTTCCACACCTTGCTTAGGCTTTTCTCCATTAAGGAACTCTGTGGTCCAGGCGGTGTCCTCATCCTAGCTTGAAGTGTCTCAGGCTGCTGCCTATCTTTGACCTTCGGCTCTTATGAAAGCAAAGGAAAATCCCAAGAAAAACAGCCCCATTAGCTTGTCTCCTTGAGCAAGTCCACAAGAGACAGGAATAGAGCCCTCCTAATCTCAGCCTAGCCTTTCAATAGTAAGCCTTTTCCGAAACCCTTCACCTAATCCCTAGTCCCCCAGAGATTTCTTCTGATTGGCTTACTGAGTGTGTGGATGTAGGTGAGTGGGATGCTTCAAGACCCTTTGCCTGTTGGGCAGTCATCTCCCTCCACCCTGCGCTGGGCTGTCACTTCTCTGACCCCTCCTGCCTCTAACCCATTTCCTGGCTCACTCTATGGACCAGACGAAAGCTACTTGAGTCCGTGAGCAGGGACTGTGCAGAGCTCCCTTTCCCCTCTATGGACCAGTAGAGACGAAAGCTACTTGAGTCCGTGAGCAGGGACTGTGCAGAGCTCCCTTTCCAGAAAGCTGCCCCTTTGGGTGTTGTTATCCCCAATTCCTCTGAGAGCCTCTGGGACAGGAGTCAAGTCAGGGGCACTTATATCAGTACCCAGGTGAGTGTATTGCCCTATTTGGGCTGGAAAGGTTCTAAGAACAAATCTTACTAACTCAATGCACAGAGTGGAACACTATGTTCTGAAGTGGGGAAGGGACTGGACCTAGAATACTACCTACAGGGTAGTAGCCAGAGCTAGAACTAGAGGCTAGACCTTCCTCCTGCTTCTTACCTGTGAAACCCTTTACTTCAAGTCCCTTCCACTAGCCATTGAACCAAGCCTTGAAAGGAACCTTACCCTGGGCTACCCCTTTTGGAATGCCTAAGCCTAAGCACGGGTTGGCACTTTGGGATCATAGTGGAGTCACTGCTGGGGTCAGGAGGTAGGAGGTAGGGGCTCTAGAGAAGTAGCTATTTGTGTCCCCTGACCTCCTTCTCCCTGCAGGTAGCAATGCTGCTCGGGGCGTCCCTGGTAGGGGCGCTGCTATTTTCCAAGCTGGTGCTGAAACTGCCCTGGACTCAGGTGGGATTTTCCCTGCTGCTCCTGTACTTGGGGTCTGGCGGCTGGCGTTTCATCCGGGTCTTCATCAAGACCATCAGGCGGGATGTCTTGTGAGTAACAGATCCAGCCCTTCCTGGGGTCTCAGCCATGCTGGGCTCCCCCAAAACAGACTCCATTGTCCCTACCAGCATAAGATGTCTGCATCCAAACGGTGAACAGCTTCTGGTCCACACCCTTCTCCTGGCAGTAGTACCTGGTACTTGCATCTCCAAGGTCAAAGTCTCCCAAGGAATCACCTGAACTTGAGGCTTCTTGGCCTAGGGAAAGCTTTGGGAACTGGGGCATACATCAAACCAAGTTTGTTAAGGAGACCTCCATAAGGGGCCCTGAGGACACTGATTTATGACAAAGTAAAGAAGAACCCAGTAGGAAAGGACCTTCCCTCAGATTGGCACCGGCTTGAGAGAGCACAAGGGGGCACTGGGTGCTAGTATAGCCCCAAGTTAGAGGACTTGAAGAATCTGTCCCAGCTGTTCTGTGCCAGGTGCCAGGCTGGCTCTAAGGCCTAGAAACTCCATCTGCCAAGCTCAGGCTAACCAGGAGAGAAGAAAGGAACCTAGCCAGGCATGGTGGCACACAGCTTTAATCCCAGCACTTGGGAGGCAGAGGCAAGTGGATCTCTGTGAGATACAGGCCAGCCTGGTCTACATAGCGAATTCCAGGTCAGCTGAGGCTACAGGGAGACCCTTTCTCAAAAAAACCAACAAAATTAAAAAGAAAGGGGTGAATTAACTCTCAAAACTGGCAGTCTGTGCAGACAGAAACCCTGGTGGTCTTGCTCATGCCTGTGTTCCAGTGCCCAGAACAGGAGCCACGCCTAGAACAGGCAGCTCAGCATTTGTCAGTCAGGGCTTACTATAAAAGGAGGTATCAAGTGGTCCCACAGGAGATGTGGGAGCAGGGAGATAAGGCCTCAGACAAAGGGCTCAGACCAGGAATCCGAGAGGGGAGTGTGCTTGTAAGGTGCTGGTGAAGGTGGTGGTGGGGGGTACAGAACCAGAGGCGGTAGCACTGGAAAAGACAAGCTAGAGTGTTGCAGGGTGGGGTGTGAAAGGGGAGTTTCCAGGTGATTCCACAAGCACTGAACATTTCCCTGTGCCCAGCAGGGCTGAGACCTGCCTCTGCTTATCCATGATTTCCTATGGCAGTAGGGGGCCAAAGGAGGCCCCAGATCAGGAGTCTGGACTGTGGGATACGACCCTGGAAGGCTTCTGACAGAACAGCAGGCTTAGAGGGGACTAGGAATCAAACTCCTGAGTTGAACACTCAAGAGGCCTGGGGTTGAGCCATCAGCTCAGCCACATTCTATTTTTAATGCCCTGGGCAAACATGGCACCATAGGAACCTAGGTTTCCCCCTGCATCACAGGAAGGTGCACACAGTCTCTTGTTGTGAGACCTCAGTGAGAGGGTGTGTGTGACAGAGCCAAGCCCACAGGAGGAGCTGGTAGTTGGGGGTGTTAGCAGAGAGCTGGCTCCTGAGGCTCACCAGTGGGACAGCAGCCTGGGCCGAGGTGGTGGGAACCCAGCCTGGTGAGCCTCGTAGTCACACCTCCCTTGCTTCTGCACAGTGGTGGCATGGTACTCCTGAAGGTGAAGACAAAAGTCCAACGGTATCTACGGGAACGAAAGACAGTGCCCTTGTTGTTTGCCTCGGTGGTACAGCGCCACCCTGACAAGACAGCCTTGATCTTCGAGGGCACAGATACCCACTGGACCTTCCGCCAGCTGGATAGTTACTCCAACAGTGTGGCCAACTTCCTGCAGGCCCGGGGCCTGGCCTCAGGCAGTGTAGTTGCCCTCTTCATGGAGAACCGGAATGAATTTGTGGGTCTATGGCTGGGCATGGCTAAACTGGGTGTGGAGGCAGCCCTCATGAATACCAACCTCAGACGTGATGCCCTGCGCCACTGTCTTGACACCTCAAAGGCACGGGCCCTTATCTTTGGCAGCGAGATGGCCTCAGGTAAGCTCTGATGGGATGAGAGGTAGGTGGGACACCCATGGGACCTTGTGCAGATGATGGTTCTCTTCTAATCCTGCGGGGGGAGGCTGTGTGAGTCTCTGGGCATCAGAAGTCCTGGACCCTGCCAGTAATGGATACTAGAGATCTGAGTAAGCCTCATTTTCCCTAACTGGAACACCACAAGTCTCAAAAAGGTGTCTGCCCTGAAGCACTAGCAAAGTGACCAGTGTTGCCTGGCCCTGAGAATGGCAGCTCCCTCCACACCTAGTCAGGCCTCCTCTGTACAGTGGGAACAGGAACTCCCTCCCATAACAGCTCATGTTTTATTGCATCAGGGTCCAGAAGTGCTGAGCACAGTACTTTATATGAGCAGCTCTCATCTTCACTGACCAGGGAGGAAGTGATTGTTGTCTTGGTTTTATGGATGATGAGACAGTGCAGAGGGTGTGAGGAATTCACCCAAGGTCCCAACAGTTAAACTTAACAGAACTAGGATTTGATCTTGGGCTGGACCACAGTCTCCCTGGTCTTTTCCCCATGCTGTTGTGGTCACAGGGTGACAGGGAAAGTATTACGATGCTAAGGGACTAGCACTCGGAGCAGAGACAGGTGGATCTCTGTGAGTTTGAGGCCAGCCTGGCCTATGTAGCAAGTTCCAGGCCAGCCAGGGCTACATAAGAGCCTGCCTCAAAAACAAACAAACAAACAAGATGCTGAAGGAAGGACACGGCAGGGAAAGAGAAGAGGTTTAGAGGAATCAAGAGAGACAGATGTAGCTCTAAAGTCGAGTACTTGCCTAGCGTGTGCAAGGCCCCGGGTTCCATCCCCAGCACTGAAGAACACAAAAAAAAATAACGCAGAAAGTAGAACCAGGCCACAACTGCCCATGCTCAGGGCGAGTATCTGGAATATGTGCAGTTTTAGGCAGCCTGAGAGCTTTCCTGAGTGGGAGACTCTGACCCCCTTGACTTCTGACTGGACACTTGCAGAGAGCTGTACAATAGTAAGAGCTCAGAGCTTGGTATGAAGTAGAGCAATCACTTCCTTAGTGAGCTGATAATAGCTGGGTGTGGTGGTGCATACCTCTAATCCCAACACTTGGGAGATTGAGGCAGGAGGGTTGCTGCAAGTTCAAAGCCAGCTTGGGTTACAAAGCAAGACTAT